TACATAAAGGGCGAGGACGAGCGTGGGAGAAACAGCGATGGTACGAAAGAAAAAGAAAAAAAAACAAGCGGCGAGAGACGCGCGCGCAATGAGAGAGAGAGAGAGAGAGAGAAACTCGAAGCTTAATATAAAACTTCATTTCGCAATCGGCAGCAGCCGGAGGAAACGCCAAGATCCGACACGCAGAAATTCCGCGGTCGCCACAAAAAGGGCGAGCTCGAAAGGATCTTATTTTTCCGGCATTAAGCTTTTCGCGGTTCGCAAAATTGCTCCAAATATAACTTATTATCCCCGGCAAAATATCGCAGCGCAACGTGCCGCTTTAAGAGGGAAAAGATTCCGGTGACAACTTTCGAAGCGCCGCGAAGCGCCAAGCGACGAATTATTTTGAGATTAATAAAACGAACGTGGAGAGATCCGAACGGTGAAAATTATCGTCGAGCAGTTCTCCCGAGGAAACCGTTATCGGAGAAACTCCGCCTTACACGGCAAAGAGAGTAAAATAAAGAATCGCCGAAGAAAGATAGCGTAGTCGCTTTTATCACGCGAAGCGCTGCTGCAACTGTGTCGATCTGAGGAACGCACCCCTTCCTCCCCTCCCCCCCCCCCCGCCCCGTCGCTCCTTTCTCGGGAACTTTTCGTTCGTATATTTCGGGCCTTTCCTCCTATATGTTTTCGGAGTGCGCCTGAAAGAAGGGGTCGGGCTGCCGAACATCGGTGGCGCGAGCGAGGCGCGCGCGATGAAACTTTTAATAAATGGCAGAGTCGATATGAAGTATAGGACTTTGACATATCGTGTGTCTGTAATGTATAGTTAAATCTGGTGGCAGATGTGGAGGGTGCTCTCCGTTCACTCGTCTCTCTCCGTTACCCTCCCGCTTGCTCGCCCTCTTTCGCCTCCTCTCTAGCCATCCGCGCCCGCTTCGCGCTCCGGAATGGTTGACACCCTTGCCCCTCTCGGAAACTTCCTTCTAACCCACTGACGCAATTGAATAAATTATTAATATCAATACGCGCACAGGCACAAAAAGATAACGATTCAAAATGCGTCTCGTTCCACTGATCAACTTTTTTTTCCAATCGCGCGCGTTTCCACGATCCTTTTAATCTCTCGCATTTACTGTCCCCGATAGGAAAGTGTCTCAAATATTGTGCAATAATTGCATCATCCAAAAGGAGGTCATTTCACAATGATTGCACTAAGGTGATTCGCCAAAACGCAGCGGTTTTGTAGCAAGAAAATTTCTAGATGGTATTTGCTCAAAAATTGATCAATTTAGGAGATAAATCATGCACAATTATTTCGACATTTAGACGCAAAGTTGCTCAGCAACACAGTTACGTGTAATAAATGTCTGATAAAGATTTAGCGTTTACCGCTGGGCCTGCTTTCATCTCGTCTCGCGTGAATTTTACTTACGAGTATGAGACGCCTCGTAGCGGCAGCTCGTCGTAACACGACAGCAATTTAATTGTGCAAATATTTATCAATATTTAACGAAAGGTCTACATTTCTGCATACGTTGTTCGAAATATATACGAGTAATTCCAGCACTCCAAGTTTCATTCAG